ATACGAAAAGGGTGAAAAAAAGAAGGATGATATTGATAGACAAAATGAAGTTGCAACTAGAAAGGTAGAACTTAATGTATCTGTTGTTGCCACACCAAATGTATCATCATCATTGGGGAATCCTAAAATGGCGATGGAAAGTTCGGTTTCGGTTAGTGGTATAGAAGGTAATGTTTTGTCTTTGATGAGAGACAAGCAAGTGGCTTCGATATCGCAGATGAACTCATTGCTGATCCAGAGTCTTACTTCGTTTCGTTCCCCTAAGCCTCGGTGGTCATCTGCTCGAGACTCTGAAATGCTCTCTGCGAAACTCGAGATTGAGAAACCTTCTGTTGTGCATGAATTTCCTGGACTTGACGCTTCGGTTTACCGTAATATCTCGAAGTTTCAAAGGAGTTACGACTTGATGGAGAGGAAACTCAAAGTTTATGTGTATAAGGAAGGAGTGAAACCGATATTCCATAAGCCAATGCCTCGAGGAATTTACGCTTCAGAAGGTTGGTTCATGAAACTCATGGAAAGCAACAAGAAGTTTGTAGTAAAAGACCCAAGGAAGGCTCATTTGTTTTACTTACCGGTTAGCATAAAAGCCCTTAGGAACTTGCTGGGACGGGATTTTCAGACACCGAAGGGCCTTGCTGACCATTTGAAGGAATACGTAGATTTGATAGCAGGAAAGTACAAGTTCTGGAACCGAACTGGTGGAGCCGATCATTTTCTAGTTGCTTGCCATGATTGGGGAAACAAACTGACAAAAAAACACATGAAGAACAGTGTTCGAGCGCTTTGTAACTCAAATGTTGCACAAGGCTTCAGAATTGGGATCGATACAGCTTTACCGGTCACATATATACGCTCTGCCGAGTCTCCTCTTGAGTACCGTGGGGGGAAAACTGCATCCGAAAGGAAGATTCTTGCGTTCTTTGCAGGAAGCATGCACGGATATCTTCGTCCAATCCTTGTGCAGCTTTGGGAGAACAAAGAACCTGACATGAAGATCTTCGGTCCAATGCCTCGTGACCCTAAAAGCAAGAAACAATACCGGGAATACATGAAGAGCAGTAAGTACTGCATATGCGCGAGGGGATACGAAGTCCACACTCCTAGAGTTGTCGAAGCCATCATTAACGAATGTGTTCCCGTTATCATTGCTGACAACTACGTGCCTCCGTTTTTCGAGGTTTTGAACTGGGAGGAATTTGCAGTGTTTGTCGAGGAGAAAGACATATCGAATCTGAGGAACATTCTACTATCAATACCGGAAGAGAGATATATTGGCATGCAAGCAAAGGTGAAAATGGTGCAGCAACATTTCCTGTGGCACAAGAAACCGGTTAAGTTTGATCTGTTTCATATGATATTGCATTCAATTTGGTACAACCGAGTTTATAGGGTTAGAACCAGGTGAAGACTTCTGTAACTTGTAACTCCAGACAACATTTAGCGAAGTCAATGAGTTTCTGTTTAGGGAACAATAATACACTGCAAAATGAAATTCAATCTATCTTTTGATCAGTACAAAAACCAAAACTTTTTTAGGAAATAATAATACAATGCAAAATGAAATCAATCTGAGTCTTTTTCTCAGTACATAAACCAAAACTTTTTTGTTTATAGCAAAAAAAGATGACAACAGATTCAAAGTGAATAGCTTTTTTAAATGGATCATAATGTTTTCACAGAATCACTCTTCCATGGCTTCGTTTTGCACAGACTCGGTTTTGGAGGCCAAAACTTTGATTTTCTTTCGACCGTCTAGGAGCGGCTCTGGTGCCCGGATCAATGAAATGTGATTATCTATAACCTTCATTTCCTCCATGTGGACTTTCTTTTTGTCTGGCTTCAACCTAAGTCCCACACACACACAAATC